GAGTAGGTGAATGAAGAAAAGTTCCAACGTCTGAGTATCGAGGCTCGATACCCGGCAAAAGGTGTTCCGCGAGTGAGTAAAAGCGAGAAGGTATAGTCGGTGGAATAAATGTGGCGGCAACGATTGATGTAGCTTTACGTGGGGTCGTGTGTCGTTTTGTCGATTGATATATGAAATTTTTGCTTGGAATTGTTAATGCTGCGGGGTTTAAGCTTCTGTCCTCTCTCCTGTTCAATAATGATTGGCTTGTTAGTGAAAATTAATTTATAGGTGTTACGGATTAAGGTGCAGAGAAATTGTTTAAGCATACTACAAGGGAAGAACCTAATTATTTGGCTGAAATTGTTGGAAGAACTTGGTTAGTATAATATTTGGGCCCACGCCTATTGGGTCTTATGATACGTCGTTGGAAAGTGATGGTTGGTCATTGCTATCAGAAATGTCCTATTCAGAAAGTATCGATTAAAATGTATCTTGTACACACTAATACTACAGTAATATTTCGAACACATAATTACTTTTATAAAGACTCAAATCACGCCTAGATATACGTAATGACAGATGCACTTGTAAGTAAAATGATCTTTTTACAAAAAGAATAAATTTTTTTCACCGTATCCTAATGTAGGATCGGGGCCTCCATCCCCAAATAGGGAACTGACGAGAAAAAGTAGAGAGCGCGCACTATTGGCGTAGTGGGCAAAGTCTCGACTTGCCAGCCTGAGGTCACGCGTTCGATTCCCGTTTGGGTCCCTTGATTTTTTTCCTCGATTCCTACGCTAATTCCACTTGTATTTTCTGAATGAGACATTTAAAGTAGCCATCTTGAATTCCTCTACTCATACGCTTTCCAACGATGTATCATACGACCCAATAAGGCCTGGTCTCGAATACTATAGTACCGCCTTATCTTCTAATTATCTCCCTGAAATTACCATTTACGTGCATCGATTACCTATGCTTGAACACCCAAGCAATTTGACCATTTTACTACGTCGCTTCCACCGACTGTACCGACGACGAAATCGTAAACAGAGTCGCTCAGCGTAGATGGGGAAAAAAACGTTGGAGAGTGAGCGCACTGTGAATAGGACAGTATATAAGAGCGACGCGATATGGCGTTTACCGTTACTTGGCCCGACACGCGTTACAGGCGAGGATCTCGAGCCCCGTCGAATACTTCTCGAGCAACAGCTTCGCGAGGCTAGCCTCGCTTTCGGTTGATCGGGAAAACCGAGTGAACGTGGCGCATAGGCTCCGGTATGGCTGGTAACGTTGTTTTCTTCTCGTTGGTTTTGCCGCGAAAATAAAATAACTGCACCGGTTGCGACATGCTGCAGATTCGTTTCGGTATTCGGGACACGTTGCCATCGGTGCGAATGCATTTTCGTTATTCCCGTCGAATTCCACGCACGACCACGTCCGACGCCACTTGACATTTTCAATTTAACTCTTGGTATGCCCCGGGAATGTCTCTGTTTTATTATCGAGAAATTTAGAGAATTACCATTCACAGTTTTACAAGGTATTCGAAAATTTCTAGTTTGAATTTCGTCGTAGATGGTCGATCGAGATAATCGTTCGAGTTTTGGCATCTCGAACGACATCTGGAATTGTCGAGTGATAGCAAGGTGGTTTCAGCGCGAAGATAAGTAGATACGGTCGGTAATGCACAGACTGACGAATTTAGTCAGACGAGATTTTGGGTAAACCGATCATCTTATGGGACTTTTTGTCACACGATCTGAAATATCGACGTTGTCCAAAATTACCGGTTTCGAAACGCACTCTACGCTTAAGAACGGTCGTTTCAGGAACTACATCGCGCGAAACGATCGATATTGATCGTTTGTACATTGATACTGTGTGTCGATACATCTTTGTATCTGAAAACGCAAATAAGTGTGACTGAATCTAATCTGATTCGTCCTAAGATTCGAAATTTTATCTCCGTCATTTAAAATAACAAATTTTAGGTGTTTTTCATTTCAATTCCTACCACTCGTAGCGCAGTGATTAAATACCAGTCCCAATCGATACAGTAGAATAATGGTAACGGGGTTCTAGGACCCACGATGTTGTGTCAAAAAAATACATTCAACGAGTGATCTACTCTGTATCTCGACTGTGATAATATCAGTCCCAATCGATACAGTAGAACGTTGGTAAAAGGGTTCTAGGACCCCACGATCGTGTGACAAAAGAATACATGAAATGAGTAGCCTACTGTATATCTCGTCTGTGACTAAGTAGATATGGTCGGTAACGCACAGACCGACGAATTTAGCTCTCGCTGGTAGGGGAACTCCCCGAAGCGAGTGGTAACTGTCTCCGTGTCGGTAAGACGAACCTGTAGATACTGCAGTTTACTGTTGTATACACTTCCTTACAGGTGTCTTCTGTAACGTGACACCAACCTAAGCACTCTACGTTGTTTCCTAACTTCTTCGGTGATCTCAACGCTCAACTATTCGCCATTGTTATCGTCTACTACTTATTTTTATTTCCACCAACGAACAGGTTCTCGTTCCTCGAAAATAATCGGTACATTTCATCTGAAGATAGATACATCGAAAACTATTAGAAATTGTCGGCACGTTTCGTGGCTCATAAGGAGGGACTTTCTTTGCTCGTTACGTAAAACAGCTTACGCGGTGGCTCCGTTCGAGCGAGAAAACGCTTGTGAAACTAGAAAACGTCTGGATTTTAGTTTTTTTTCTTTTTTTCAGGTTAACACATCGTCGGCTAATCTGACACATGAATCGTTCCAAGAAATTTCATTGGAATTATCAGCTTATCGATCCCCTCGACAATTTTCCCCACAAATTTCGTCGATTATCCCAGATAACTGGTAGAAGATCCACAACTATCCCGGTTCGCGTTATCTGTTCACGGCTTTTGACATTTGCACGTAAGTCGATCTGTAAGCCAGTTTGGTATTTGCGTGGCATTTATCGTACTGCGTTGGTGCTTTCGTCACGACGTGCCAGCAAGGCCGGCGAATCCTTAGAAATCCTCCGCGGAGGACTGTTCTGTTTCACGGAACCTCTGTTTATCCGATCAGTTGATACGATTGATCCGCGTACAATCCGCAGAAAGGTCGCCTCTAATCTCGCGCGAGGCTGTCACGTTCGTCCTCTGAATCTCCGACACGTTTCCGCGGCCGAAAAATTCTCCTGGAAACGTTACGGAGGCGTGTCACGATCGCGCGCCTCGCCGTTGCGACAGGATATTCCGAAATTCGCGGCGGTTTCACCGACGCAACGGCCAATTACGGAATCGTCCTAGTTCGTAACCAGAAACAGGACAAATGTCCGGTTGGTGGTTTTTACAGGCGCGCGTTGCGTCGAGTAGAAATTACGAAAGGACCAGGGGGGTATTACGAAAGACACAGTTACGATAGGTCAGTGGCAGACGAACGAGAAGAAAAGCACGATAGGCGACATCCTGATGGAGCGTGAACGTGTTCGAGGATCGCGCGATTTAGAAAGCAAACCGAGTTCCTGGGCGAAAAAGACCGCCTGTTTCTGCTACGTTTTCGCGATGTCGAAACGTTTTGTCAGGACGAAGTGAACGTCTGAGGTTAGAGCACTGTGTGTGTGTGTGTGTGTTCGCGTGTGTTCTTTAGAGAGAGAACGGTGGGAGAGACGAGGGAGAGCTTTGGTGTCTGAAGCGAGTGAACAGCTGGCAAGATTGGTAGCACCGTTACAGCGCGCTCGGTTGTCCGGTTCCTCGTAGAT